AAAGGAGGAACAAAGAAAAAGGGGAATAAAGAAAAGGACAATGAGCAGCAGAGGAGTGCACAGAATGAATGCATGACTACCAAACGCTCTCCATAGAGAAATGAACCCAGGAGAAAAGAGGGTGTGTCCAACTCTGCAACACATGTTCTTCTTTAAAAAGCAAGGCATGATCCCTTTGAAAAAAACTCCTAAGTCAAATAAGTGTCAACACTGAGCCAGTACTCATGAGAGTCCTTTGCCTCCTCCAGAAAGGAAAATGAGCCAGAGTAGGGTGCCATTGTTTTTAGTGTGTGCCAAATAAGTACCTGGGCTGACTCCATATCATTTTAAAACATTCTGAGTAATTGTGAAGATTTATTGTCACACCATCTCCTTCACGATATATTAACTTATATAATTAATGTAGAGTTCTTCCTCAAGCACCAATTTTCTTTCTTTTTTTTTTTTTATTAGTTCTAGTTAGGGAGCAAGCTTGTTTCAAGTCCCTTCTCCCCCTCCCTCCCCTCACCCTACCCCTCCTCCCCCACCCCCATCAAATATTCTTTAAAAGGTTCTGATAAAGGAAATTACAGGTGTGCCAAAATAAGAAGGGGAAGGGAAGTTTTATTAATCACTTCAATTGAACTTAACATACCCAGAGTGACCCTGTCTGTAATTAATAATGTAGAATATAATCTCTGGGTGCATGCAGCACTAAAAAGCCAATGAGAAAACTCCTTCTGTGTCATAGGAGATCCATCTATTCCTTGCCTATTAAAAAGAAATTTGTATGGAATAGGGGTTTCTTATGAAAATTACACGAGGATAATGGGGACAAAATGGAACATGCCCACACTATTGTTTCCCCACCCCATCCACCCACCACTCCCCAGACAGGGTAGGGCCCTCAACGGGGGCTCTGCAAAGTCCACCAAATCTTCCTGTGCTGGTCCTGGGCCCTTCCCCATGTGTCCAGGGCCAGAGTATAACCCTTCACGAAGCACCAATTTTCTAATTGCCATGTATACACAGACAAGTATAGTCAGCTTTATCAAAATTTGCTTAAAAGCACGGTAAATAATAAAAATTGGATGTGCCTTTATGGTCACAATCAACTTAGACCTCAAAAGTAGCCAAAGAAACAAAACAAAGACCGTGTAGCCTGGGGAGACTGAGGCCAGGGGCTAGCACAGCTTACTAAATCCATCCAAGTTATGTATCAGGAATGAGGTTCTCCAGATTCTGGGAGATTTGAGGCAGTCACGTGCTTGCTGGCAAAGGTGGGCTGAAGTAAGGCTGTCAGGCTTAAGACAGTGACAAGTGGCAGCTGGATGACAGAAGATAATACAACACTTTTTTTGAGAGTTTTTACAAAATAATATTAGATACAAATACTAAAACACAAATCTGTGTTTTGAGAATTCTCAATACACTTATCAGTTTCCGTGTAAATCAATAGAAGGAATATATTCTTAGGATAGTTTCCATCAAGGATGTTTAAGCTAAACCCATGACTCATTAAAAATAATCCGCTCTGGTATCTAGAAGCATGATTCCCCAAATTCTAAATGAATCTTCTGTATATATGGGCATAGTTTCAAAGAGAGAGTCGAGTTTGAGATGTGGATACATTCTGCAGGCAACACAATTAATACCTGGGCTTTTTCTTTCGTATGGTGCTACCTAGGTCAATCCGGGGATCTGAAGCAAACCCAGCAAGTGAACTGCAACACTAAACTACACACCGGCTCTAATACTTGGGATTTTTAGAGCGTACAGAACTTGTATACAGATGATACCTTATCTAAATGACTGAAATAAAAATGCCTGGCTGCAAATATGCCCTTGAGAATATATAGTGCAGAGGCATCACTCGTTACTGTGCCCAAGGCCTCAGCTGCATCCACAGCACTTATCAATCTTGATAATGGTCCAGGAGTCCAAAGATGGGCAGATAAGGATTCATTACTCTAGTATGAAGTCACAGGAATGCTAGCTTGATTGGGATCCATTCGAAGACTAGGCAAGCACTCCTTATCCTTCCCACACAGCTCACCTTCAGCTCTCAGCAAAATAGAACCTGATAAAGTGCTTCCTGGGTCCAGGGACTGCACTGTTGTTTTGTTTTGTTTTTCTGATTTTCAGTGTTGGGGATGGAACCTGGGGCCCACACATGCCAATCATGCATTCTACTGATGGCTGCATCCTGACATGTATTTCTTAACATTCTTTAACTCCCCCAAACCATCCATTCTCCCATCACACCCACAGGTAAACCATCTTCCCAGGTGATCTCAACCCATCCAGGCATGTCCAGAGGGAACAGGCCTGATGATTCCCAAGTACTGGGGAAGGACAGGGCCCAGCCCAAGCTTCACCCAGGAATACCCTCAGGGGTACCCTGAATCACATCCAAATCACTTTACCTCCACCAATTCAAGCAAGGTTTAGAGGAAAGAACAGGAGGCTTGGAACCAAGAAATACGGGCTTGAATTCCAGCTACAGCACACAGACCCTAGCTCTGTGACTGAGAACAAACAACTCCCCTTTCCTAAGCCTTCGTTCCCTCACAGGCAAAAGCAGTCAGTCAGCTGCACAGAGAAAACGAGGTAATAAATAGCCACTGCCGGGCACATAGTAGGTGCCCTGGAGATGACCTTCCCCTTCTCCCTTTCTCTTCCCTCTTAAATTTCTTTCTTCCACAGCTGCTCACAGGACCCCACCCCCGACTCCCAAGTTTCCTGTTGGCAGTAGCTTTTACACCTGAATCATGAAGACTTTCTTTAAAACCCTCTATCAGGAGATGCGATTGCAGAGTGTGCTCTGGTTCCTGAAATAGAAATGACAAAACTGCAAATTGAAGCTAAAAGGGGCATAGGTATAGAGTGGGCAATCAAAGGCCCTGGACTTTCCCAGCCTTCCTGTCCTCCACCTTATAACAGAGGCACCAGATTTAGCAAAGAAAATGAACATTGCCCCATTATATTTTGATTTTACACAAACAATATTTCCCCAATGTCCAATGCAGGAGAGAAGGAAGGTGTCTTTGTTGAAAAGAGCAACCAAGGAAGGAAACTAGGGACTAACCACAGAGTGGCTGTGTCTCCCACCCAGTACCAAAGAGACCCACAAGTTCTTTGGCTGAGAACGAGGTCCTGGGGGAGTCCCAGGAAAAGCCAGGAGGTATCAAATACCCGATGGTGCTCTTTCATGTCCTCTAAACAGGTCAGTTATAGGTTTCCAGCTTTGAAGTCTAACGTTGTGCAGCCTGTACTAAATCTCCACCAAATGCTTGACATGTGTGTTTGATGTTTCACTTTTTATTTGTTAATTTAAAAAATAGTTTTCTTCAATAAGCATATCATTCTTAGAATTCTAAGAATAAGGACTTGCTATCTTTAGGTTGTTGTTTTTTGCATTGCCAGGGCTAGAACCCAGGGCCTTGCTGGTGCTAGTCAAGTGCTCTACCACTGACCTACACACCCAGCCCTAAGAACATCAGAAGAGATAAGCGACCGACACCTACATTTAAATGACTTTTCCATTGACGCATATGCATTTGCATTTGAATTTCCTGTCTTAAGTGGGATAGGGTGATAAAAATTACACATGGCGATGTACATATGGCTCAGTGTGCAGTGAAATACCATCTCGGATGGATCATTGCACTAACTTCTCAGTTGGCCCCCTGGCTGTGCCCATCCATTCATTCTTTTCCCTATCCAGTTCCAAGAGGATCCATCTAAAGAGTAAGTCAACATGTCACTTCCCCGCTCAGAATCTCCGGGGACATCCCATCTTACTCAGAGTTGAGAGGCAAAGTCTTTCCAGTGGCCTCTAGGTCCTTAGGGGCCCGACTTTCCTGGGCCTCCCCTAGGTCACCCTGGGGAAGCTATCCTGGTCACAGCACACAGCATCCTTGCCAAGGGCCTGTTTTCCCCTCCTTTGTTCTAAGACAATTTCTCCAGTCTTCTCTGGCTTCGCTGCAAAGCTCTATTCCTCCTTTGCTACATTGTCTCCATGCCTCCAAGTGCATCAATCTAGTGCATGCTTTATTTAACTCCATATTTGGAATATCTCCCACTAGAATTTGGACAGAAGTCACAGCATTTTGCTTGTTGCGGCATTGTCAGTACGGAAAATATATCCCATTCAGTCAGTAGAATTACTTGTTGAATGCTGAATTGACACAAGACAGAATGTCAATAACGATGAGTTATACTGGGATAAAAATGAATAAACACAGGATTTCCTTCAAGATGTTGACTTGGTAACCCAGCTCTTCCCCCATGAAGCCCATGCTCTCGCTCTCTTCCTCATGAGAAAAATGCAGACACAAAGCAGACTTGGCAATTAACTGCTTCTGATATTAATACTCTAAAATATGGATGCTGCTGATGTAGTCAGCGCTTGCCCAGAGTGCGTCAGGCCCTGTTCAAGATCCAGCACCGACATCAAACCAACAAAACCAATGCTGATTCATTGAACAGAATGTGGCGGTGTAGAGCTGTAACTCAGAGCTCAGGAAGCTGAAGAAAGACAGCCCGGGCTACACAAGGAAACTGTCTCAAACAAATACACAAATGAAAGCAAAACCCTGGAAACAAACCAGGGGCTGACAAGATGGGTCATGCGGTAAAGTCACTGCCCTGACCACCAAGACTGCTGAGGTAGAGAACGGATTCCAGCAAGTTGTCCTCCGACCCACACCCACACGTGCAAAATAAATTTAAAAAAATTTTAAAGCGGGACTCCATCTTTCTACTGTGGGCGGGTTTTTATTTGTTTGTTTTGCTTTTGTTCTTTGTTTGTTTGTTTTAAATAAGGTGCAGTGCTTCCCAGGTCTCTACTCAAGATAAAAGCAGTTAGTAAGTTCTAAAATAAAGAATGCGCTCCGAGAAAGTTGCAGGACTACTTCAATCCATGCTGTTTAGTAAAGTCCACATTTTGGCAGAGGTCCAATCAAAGGACCTTATAAGATGTATAACGGCCCAATTGCGCAGAACAAAATTCCCCTTACCTCCCGACCGCATCCTGAATGAGCTGCTGCAGGTCCACCTCCTGCTTCCGCAGGGTTCCAAACGAAGAGCGACCCTCCACCAGACCTTTGGCGCCGACATTCAGCTTGACCTTCCCCACAACCGTCCCGATGCTCCCACTCACATGGTTCTCGAACTTGCTTTCATATTTCACGAAGTCTGACTCCACAACCACTGGAAAGAACAGAGCAGAGGAATCTGAAAGCAGTTGAGACGTCTCCGTGTTGCGGGCTGCCCGCTTCCCAGAAGCCTCGTGGGGAAGCCACACCAGCATCCAATTGGGAAGGGGGCACCTGTGCTGTGTGGACTTTCAGTAAAATGCAGTTGGCACGCCTGCATGCCGACTGAGTGCAGCTGTGGACTGACCAGAGTTTAGGGTGCTTAGCACCTCTTTAGCCACTGTGATGGTTTATATTGATTCTCAACTTGAGAGGCTCCAGAATTACCCAGGAGACAAAGCTCTGGGCATGCCTAGGACGGGGTTTCTAGATTGGGTTAACTGAGGTAGGAAAGACCATTCTTATCCATTCCATGGGCTGCTGCCCCAGACTACACGGACAGGACAGAGCTGACTGCTGACATGACGTGACCCGCTCCCTCTTTCAGGCCTTTCTCGCCATGATAGACTGCACCCTCAAAGTGTGAGCCCAAATAAACTCTCCCTTAAGTTATTGTGACCAGGAACTTTTGTGCCTGCAAGGATCAAAAGTAACTAAGATGGCCAGCAGCTGGGGTAAATACCGAAAGGGGATGAAAATGGAGGATGATGAGTGACACCTGTATCCATACTACTGTTGCAAACATCAGGGGAGCAACTTGGCATGGCAGATCCTCCTGGACAGTCCTTGGACAGCCTTCCCTCCCACCACCCATCCTGAAGAACAGCCCTGGTCCTTCTCGCCATCTCCCAGCAAATGTAGTGTTTATATTATACCTGAGCTCTAGTCAGACGTTCAGTTCCTTGCCATGTGAGTCACCGGGCACGTCCATCCCCCCTCAATCCCCTCCCAAAGCACAGAAAGTGAAGACTTGCTTGCTTTCTGTCCTGGGTTTCCAGACTCTAAGGAGCAAAGCAGTACCACCTGGTATTCCACTGTCAATCAAGTCATCTGGGAATTACCCAGTTCCTCACCACAGTCAAATGTCCTACACCAAGCTGTTGCCCTGGCTCTCCATCTGACCACATGCAAGTGAGGGCTGTCAGGGTCCCTTCAGGGTCCACCCTACACTCAGAACCCTCATGGGAACTGCCAGCCTTGGGTTTTGTTCCTGGGTACTCAGTATTGAATTCAGGGTTTCCTATATAGAAGTCATATATTCCACTATAAATACATGCTCCCCCAGGCCACTGTCCCCATTTTAATCTGTCATGACAGAACCATAAAAAAATACAGCCTCAATCACCACCATCTGGTAAGAATACAAAAGAGCCCATTGTGGGCATCAGACTCTGCCTCTTCATGTCCTTCACCCAAGTATCTCCTGGGCTCCGGACTGATCTTCAGAAGGCATTCCAAACCACCTGGAGGCTGACAGACTTCTTTGTACTCACCCACTACCACAAGCAGGGAATGTGGGACAGGGCCAGAGGCCAGGTATAATCTACAAAGGCCCCTGCCTAGTGACCTACTTCTGTCAGCTAGTCCCATCTCCGATGGGTTCACTGCCCTCAGAATAGCACCATAAGCTGGAAACCAGGCATTCAAAACATTGGACTAGGGGATGCATGTTTAGATTCAAAATGTAACATTCCCAGAACTGATCACACAGCAGATAGGGAGAAGTCAAGAGTATATACATGAAATGTCACCCTAGTCACGCTTGCAAAATGATGTCACTTGTACACAGTCCTTTATCAAGTTGTAACCTGTAAGAATGGAGCATTGGACTCTCAGTGAGCCAACAACCCAGTCACCACCTTCCCCTTCCCTATCCCTAGCCACACTCACATCAGGGTTGAAGCAAGTGGGAAAAAATAACAATGATGAAGTCTCCTGAGTCTGCTCTTTCTAGCCAGGACTCCAGCAGGACTCCGGATCCAGCCTGAGTTCGGACCTCAAATGATGGTCCTACTCAGGGATCCCTTATCTGTGGTGACATGTGACATCACCAGTCTAACTGGAGTCTGCATAATCTTTCAAGACACCACCAAGTTGTCATTTCAGCATCACAGAAAGAAATCCCAGTACTCAGCAGCCCTTGGTACGTTTCATGATGTTTTCTCTCTTGTTCCAAGTTATACTTAGCTATTTTACTACTCAAAAGAGGTTCCACCCTCAGGTACATAAACCTGGGGAGGGGGTAGAGAGGGAGTGATGGTTGATACTGTCAATCTGACAGGCTCTAGAATCACCTACAAGACAAGCTTCCAAGCATGCCTCAGGAGGGTGGTTTAAATTATGTCGTCTGAGGTGGAAAGACTCATCCTCAATGTGGCAGCACCATTCTGAGGGGTGGGGTCCTGGCCAGAATAAATAGGGGATACCAGCAAATGCTAGAATCCATGGCTCCCTGCTTTCTGGCTGTGGATGCAGTGTGACCAGAAATCTGTGTCAAGCCCCTGATGCTATGGCTTCCTCACCTAGTACTCCCCAAAACTGTGTGTTAAAATATGCTGTTTCTTTCTTAAGTTGCCTCCTGTCAGATGTTTTGTCTCAGAAATGAGAACAGCAGCTAACATGTAGGGAATGACGTGAAATTCAGATCAATCCATCCTCCCCTTCCGTGGCAGCCCCAGTGACTGGCTGAGGGCAGCATTGCCAGGAAGGCTCATCAGGAAGCAAGAGTGGAGACTGCAGACCTGAGTCAGCAACTCTAGCCCCCTTCCTTTTGGTAGACACGAAATCACAAAATGCCAAAACTTTACTGTGAAGGAGGAATTAGACATGGGTTCATCCAATAAGTAAGAACTGTCAATCTGCCACACACATCACCATGTTCCAGGAAGTAACAGCAAGGAGTAGCAACTTTCAGAAAGTTTCCAACCCCTGGTCCAGGATGTCTGAGAAAGCATGCTAATGCAACTGTTTCAAAAACAAGCTAAAAAAAATCACAAACAAAAATGTTCACTGCAGCCTTATTTATTAAGCACAAAATTGGAATAGTTAATCAAATTAGGGTATATATACACAAAGGAATGTGTTTGTTGAAATAGAATTAAAAGTATCTAAATCTACAGAGGAAAACTTACATAATATTAAATAAAAATAAACGAGTAATATATTAAAATTGTATACAGCATGTTTCTACTTCTGTTTGTAAAATCTATTTAGGTGTGAGGGCACAGCAAGGACCTGAGTTCAGATCTCCAGTACATCATAGAAAAGTCCAGGCTATACTAGCATGACCGAAGTCCAGTGAGACCCTGCTCAAAACAATAAGGCAGAGAGTTACAGAAGACACCTGCTGTTGACATGCACACACACACAGACACAGACAGACACACATACACACACACACACACACACACACACACACACACACACACACACACACACACACCACAATTTTTTCCATTAGATGAGGTTTTAAAAAAAGACCACAATCTAAGTACTAATGAATATTGACATATAATGTTATATTATGAAGCTTTTTTCTTTCATCTCTTTGTATGCTTTATAAACATTGCCGTGTGTTGCTTAGCAACAGGGTCAAGTTGTCAGAGAAGCAGCCATAGGTGATTTCATCATTGTTGAGACATCATAGAATGCTCTTGCCAAGATAGTACAGACATCACTAGCAGATGTAACCATAAGAAATCCCAGCAAAAACACAGCCATTGACCAGAAGGTTATGTGGCACAGACTAGATGAGGGTACCACAGACAATCCATTGTGTTCTTTGTCTACTGATAGCTGTCCAGCCCATCTTCAGTCCCCCTTTTTTCCTCTGTTACATATCTGTATACACTGATTAGAAGCCCAGGTAGGGCTGAAGAGATGGCTCAGTCAGTAAAACCACTCACCACACAAACATGAAAACCAGAGATCAAATCCCTGGAACCTATGAATTTAGATACAGTGTGCCTGCAGTGAGATGGGAACCAGATAATGAATCTCCAGAAGCTCCTGGATCACACAGCATCAGACTGCTATACAAGGTGGCAGAATGGCTGGAGGCCTGGTCTCAAACAAGGGGAGTAAGGACTGACATCCAAGATTGTCAGCTAACCTTCAGTGGTCACTCTAGCTCTGGATCCATTTCTCTCTCTCTCTCTCTCTCTCTCTCTCTCTCACACACACACACACACACACACACACACACACACCACGGAGGGGACGCAGACAGACATACAAAAAGTAAAAAAGTACCAGTCCAGGTTCTCCTTGCCCTGGGGCCAGTGGAAAGTAAACCACAAAGTCTCAATTTCTAGACAGAGGACTTCACCACTGCCACAATAAATGCCAAGCCAATTTCTTTAGCATACCCTCTGAAGGAAGGAAGGAAGGAAGGAAGGAAGGAAGGAAGGAAGGAAGGATATCCTTTTATCCTTTTATATCAGAGAGCCAAAGAAAAGGAAGAATTCAGTATGAGATGCCACCTCCATCCCAGACACCAAGAAGAGCCGCTCCCTGGGGACTAGTCACTGTGTCTTCACAAGGAAACATACCTGGACTAAGACATTGTCCCTCTGTGAGAACGTCTCCCAGGGTGACAGACAAAAACTGGTACTTGGGTCTCTGCCAGCACCAGTGCCTCTTCTTCTTGGTCACCAGACTCAGCAGTTGCAGCTTATCAGAGTCATTCAAGTGTGACACTGAGATCAGGTCCCCTCCAGCGTCAACCTCTTTCAGGAAATTCCGAGTCGCTTTGGCAAACATTTTGTCAGGTTCAGATTACCTGAAATATAAGGTTAGTATAGAGTTATTTTGTGTGTTTTTTTTTTAAATTAGCCTATTTCTCTATGGTTACCATAGCTAATATGAAAGAATATGTCCTCTCTAAAACTAGCTAATGTGAGTTCAGTTGATAACAAGGAAATCAAATTGACAAAAGGGAAAAGCTCAAACATAGACACTGGAAAAGAATGTTCAGGATGGGCGAGGTTATACTTCTGAAGCAAACAACCCTGAAATCCCAGTGCGTTCCAGCCCTGGTTCTCAACCTGTGGGTCATGATCCCTTTGGGATCAAATGACTCTTTGACAGGAGCTACCTAAGACCATCAGCAAACACAGGTATTTACATTACGATTCACAACAGTAGCAAAACTACAGTTATGACGTAGCAATGAGAATAATGTTATCGTTGGAGGTCACCAAAGCATACGAAGCTTTATTTATTTATTAAAGGGTTGCAACAATAGGAAGGCTGAGAACCACCAGCTTACAGCTATAAAAGTGTATTTGAGCTGGGCTTGCTGGTACACATCTGTAATCCCATGGGGCAGAAACAGGAGTGTTAACACACACTCAAGGGCAGCCTGTTCTGTATACTGGGTTCCAGGCCTAGACTCCATCCCAGATGGAAATTATTTGTTGCTTATACTGAATGTCAATAAAGATGGAACAGGTAAGGTCTGGGTTTTTGTTTTTGTTTTTGTTTTTCATTTTATTTTTGGAGTTTTTTTTGTTTTGTTTTGGTTTGTTTTGGTTTGGTTTGGTTTTTTTGAGACAGGGTTTTTTCTCTGTGGCTTTGGAGGCTGTCCTGGAACTAGCTCTTGTAGACCAGGCTGGCGAACTCACAGAAATCCACCTGACTCTGCCTTCCGAGTGCTGGGATTAAAGCATGCACTATCACTGCCTGGCCGGAGGGTGTTTTTTGTTTGTTTTTGTTTTTGTTTTTGTTTTGTTTTGTTTCTTTAGTCCATGCTGGCCTGGAACTCACTGTATATCTCAGGGTGGTCTCTAACTCAGAACAATCTTCCTGCCTCAACCTCCCAAACACCGGTGTTGAAGGAGTAGGTCACCTGACTGAGAGTTTTGTTAGTTTTGGACATTCAGAGGACCAAAGGGGAAACCACCATCTTGAACACTATCAGTCATTATACAAACAAAAGAGAGTTCTAGGTCTCACATTAGCAATTAAACATCCTGGCACAAAAGGCACTGGTGGCTCACTTACTAAGAAGTTGTCAAAACACAGTTTTAACCAACCTTGAGAGTCAAGAATGCAACCCTACCAAGAAAGGCAGAGACCTAGGGATATTTGTTGACAATGACTTCCAAACACCCAATCAACAGCAGATTGGAGATACTAAAAAATAATTGCATCGTGTGGAACATGTACCGACTTCCTCCTTCAAACAATGCTGTAATAAGCAAAAGACCAATTGTACAGGTGACTTAAATATACCAGATGCTTTGTGTAGGATGTATGCAAACTAGACCCTTTTGTAGGAGGAAGGTTAGCTAAGGCTCAGAGAGAAATGGCAAAGCCCTACATGGCTTGGTCCTGGAAACCTGCCCCAGTCATTGAGGAAATGGACAGACACACAGACACATGTACAGAAAATCTGGGATCACATGGGCTGTGCTCGCTGTGGTAGAGCAGCACCTTACTACAACAGCAACTTAGAAACTCAGAATGTTTATTTTATATGTCTGAAATCCGAATCGAGGGGGCTGGTTCATTGTGCGCAGCTGAATAAGAGGCAGGCTCACGGTACAGAGCTGAACAAGAAGATGGGCTTAGCCAGGCTACGCAGGCGGGCTCTGTGGGGAAGCAGTCTCAGGCTGCACTCATCTGGAAGGAGAAAGCTGGAGTTGACAGCTTTTGCACACACTGTCAGCTTTTGCGCTTGGCAGAAGAGGGCTTTGCCATTTCCCTCTGAGCCTCAGAGGCTTTCCCTTGCCAGAGGTCTGAGGCATCAGGGATCTTGACCCAAGGTTTTGCCCAAGACAACAGCGCACATTCACTCAGAACTTCATCTGCTCCTTACACGTTTGCTCAGGCTTCCTCCACATCCCTGCAGTGGTACTGAGGGACCACTGCCATTCTGTGGAAAGTCAGAGACAGAACTTTCTCTGCATTGTGTGATCTGCTAAGAAATGAATACTAGCTAGCTATAAATTTTTAGCCCAGAAATAAAGGTATAATCACACTTCAGCTGGAGGGAAAAAGGAAACCCGGGAAGATACAAAGGGAAGTACCATGTTCAGTGGGAATATAGGCTAGTGAACGGGTTAACTTTCTGGACAAATACCCCTATTCCTTCCTTAGTCCAACACAAGAGAAAATTAGTAATAAATCAGAATTTCTTTGAAGAAAATAAATTTAGAGAAACATTTTTGCAATCATAGGATAAAAGGACATTTATACAGACAAATTGCAATCTGAGTGAATATTTGCAATATATATTAATATATGTTTATTAAATTAATATATGACAAGAGTATTTATTTAAAAATAACTCTTAGAGGCCAGAGAGAAGGGTTGGGGGTTCAAAGTGCTTCTTTGTTTCTAGCACCCACTTGGAGGGTTCCACTTGTTGGAAAACCCCCATTCCAGGGGGTCTAATGCCCTCTTCTGGCTTCATCCCACACTGCATATACCTGGCCCACAGACAAACTGTACAAACACATATATAAAATAAAAATAAATACTAAAAACAAAGACAAAGTTTTACAAATAAAATACTTGAGTAGAACATCCAAAAATCTTATGTTACAACACATAAATTGAGCATAGTCATATACATACAATTTATGCACATGCTTCAAGTCACACATTTAATATTATACAAAAACAAATTGAAATATCACTTTTATTTGCTTGGTAAATTTATTTTTGTTTGTTTTTTATTGAGACTTTTTAAAATCCGTTTGTAACAGCCTAGGCTAGCCTCAAATTCATAATCTCCCTGCCTCATCCTCCCTGGTATTTCCATGACCATTGTGTGCCATCATGCCCAGCTGAAACAGCATTTTAAGACTGACTACAAACAAGTAAAACTGTCTAACAGACTAGAGCTGGTGTTTGTCTGTATTCCTGCCCTGGAACCTGGCCAATCACTTGGTCAACATAGTCCTCCTGGAAGTTAAGAGCTGGGTGTGGTCTTGGACTTTACCTTGTTTGATTCACTTTCTTCAGTACTCATCTTCTCTGGGGTTTCAGAAACACTGGACTTCCCTACTTCTCCAAAGCAACTTTCCCTTTGTTCTGATGAAGCAGTAGCTGCTTCAGCCTTTTCTTATATATTCAGAGCAAAAATAAACATTTGAAGAGAGGCGAGGTTCCTGTCTGAACAACGGGCTGTAAACACCATGACTAAGGAACGTGCCTTCAATGGAACATTCATTTATTCATTTGCCAAGCTCTTAACTGAGTCAGTCATTAAGAATTCTTGCATACACGTTAGGTTCTGGGTTGAAGCACTCAAAAAAAAACCACTAAGTTTATGCTGGGTTTGTTGACTCACACCTGTAACCCAAGCACTTAAGTAAGCCAGGAAGATAGTTGTGAGTTCTAGACCAGTAAACTGGAGCTGTTCACACACACACACACACACACACACACACACACCCACACACACACACACACA